ACTAGTATTTTAGTGAAATTAGAGATAAGTATTCCTTTTACTATTTGTAAGTATCTTACTTACAGTTAGCGCTAATATAAAGATATTTATAGAATACTTTCTATTAATAATATTATATAGAACATATACTTTTATAGAATAGTTCTATAATTCTAGAGTTCTTTAAAGTAATACTAGTATAGTACTTTCTTTTAGTAGCTCTCCTACGCCTAGTAGCTACCTTAATAGTATATTTATAAAGTTTATTTTACTTAGCCTATACTTAATTACTAGATTATAGGTAGTAAGGGCTATTATCTACTAGATTTACTACCTATTTAAGGCCTTTACTTTAGTACAACTAGTTAGATTATTATAGTTAGTACAAACTTTAAAGCCTCTTTTTAGTCTATTAAGGTAGTACTACTAGTACTTTACTATTATAATAATAACAAGTAGCTTCTAGTTATATATTTTATAGTTTCTTTTAGCTAGAATAAGCTTCTAGAACTAGAAGGCTATTAGATACTACTATTTATTATTATATAACTATAATAGAATAGCGGCTAGCCCACTTATAGATAAATTAGTCTTTAGCCTTGTTAGCCTTTTAGAAAAGTAGTAGTATAGAAGTAGTACTATTATAAAGGTAGTATATAGCTTTCTTATTACTATTTCTACCTCTTTAAATTATTTAAAAGACTCTATCTTTTAGCGGTTTTAAGAGCCTTTAAGTAGATCTATAACTAGCTTAGCTATTATAAAAGTATTTATAAATAAACTATTAATAGAACTTAGTAAAGTCTAGGAAAATCTAAATATCTTTATATAATATAGGCGGCTTCTACTTAGTAATTACTTTTACCTAGCTAGAATCTATCTTTATACTATTAGGCTAGATAATATAGCTAAGAAACTTAACTTTTATAATAGTAAAGGTATATTTTTCAATTTAGTATAGCGCTAGTATTAATAGAGCCTCTTTAGCACCTTGCTAATATATTACTAGTACTTCTTAATTATATTTAAGAAGTTAAGGATATTATTTAAATATATTATATAAAGAATATCTATTAGCCTAGATAATACTCTATTAATATAACTCTAAAAGGTAGTAGGAATGTTAGTAAGCCTAAAGAGTATAACTAAATACTTAGAGTATCTATAGAGATATAAAATACTATCTTCTATTTATTACCTTACTAGATATAGATCTAGTAGTAGGCATCTTTAAGATCTAGTTTTAAAAAGACCTTTACTTCTCCTAGATTGTCTAATATCTTACTAATAAATAGTAGAGCTAGATAGTTTTTAACTATAATCTTATTAAGACTCTAATAATCTATATAGAGGCGTAGCTTACTATTCTTTTTAGAAGTAAAAAGAATAGGCGCCCCTACTAGACTAGCGCTTTACTAGATTTAATTTTTCTCTATAATATTATCTAGGTATTCTTTTAATTTCTAAAGCTTATAGAGAAATAGATTATATAGAAGACTATATAGTATCTCCTAATCTAGTTTAATATCAATATTATAGTTATTCTATATATATTAAGATAGTTTACTAGTACTCTTTTCTAAGAAGATATTATAGTATTCTTTCAACTCTAGAGAAAGTTATAGTAAGCTACTATTATCTTACTTACTATCTACTTAGGAAAGAGTTATAACTATAAAGACTCTAATCTTCTACTCTAAGAATTTAGTAAATACCTTAGAAGATCTAAGTAATAGAAATAAGTTATCTAGCTTTTAGCGCTATACTTTTATTCTATAGTTAATAAGAACGTAGATTTTTTTAAATTTAGAAATCTAATAGTAATTATAGAGTCTATATCTATTATACTATAGTAAATAAAGATAATTTTCTTTACTTTATTCTAGATATTAGTAAGATATAAGAGTATCTTATAGATCTTAAAATAGTATACCTATAATAAGTTTAACTAGAAGTATATTAGTTGTTCTATATCTACTATATAGAGCTAGTACTTAATAGTAAAATACTAGTTGTTTATATTTACCTTAATACTAGTATTTAATAGGGCGGTAATAGGTTACTATACTTAGTTAAACTAAACCTTCTCTTAGACTATAATAGTCTTCTCTTTTTATAGTAGTAACCGCTCTACTAATTAGAATATTTTAGTAAATAGTAGTTCTTTCCCTATATAGATAGATATAGTATTAACTCTACTAATAAGTCCTATATCTTTATTATACTTCTTAGAATACTCTAGCCTCCTATAGCTAAACTTACTATAGTTGTAGTATTTTAGCTAGTAACTATTAGTATTATCTCTATAGAAGTCTAGTAAATTATATAGTTCTCTTCTTAAATCTAATTACTTTATAAAGTAGTAGCTATCTAACTAGCTTAATTACAACCTTTTATAGTTATTACTCTTACCCGATATAATAGTAGTAGTATATATATCCTTTTTTAGTAAAGCGGCTAGAAATACTAGCTACTACTTTATTTGAAAAAACTCTCAGTAGTTAGTTACTATAAGCTATAAGTCTAGATATAGCTTAGTAAATAGCTATAAAATAAAGTATTTAGAATTATAGCGAGAATTAATTTAAGACTATAATAATACTAAATATACTATAAAGTTATTTACTAACTAGCCTACTTTTCATATAGCTTATATATACGTTAAGCTAATATATAGCTCCCTATTTATTAGGCTCTGAATTTAGTTTAGTAGGAAGACTATAAACTCTTTCTATATAGAATTAAGTCTAGGATTAGCCTTTTTATATTAAAACTATAGTATCTGAGTATCATTCTTTAATAGGCGGAACGCTAGCTTTACACTATTACAAAAGTCTTAATATTTCTAAATATTCTTCTCTAAGTATAGGGGGATCTTTATAATAATAGTGGCTTATTTAGAAGCTTATAGCTCTACTACTATACTACTAGTATTACACTTATATAATAATACTAAGGTGCTTAGTTTAGAGGTAGTATTATTTTAAATTATTATAGTTCTAAAAACGCTATAGATTAATAGTAGAATTAAGACTCTTTATATATTTAGCCTCTCTATTAAAGATATATTTAGAATAGAAGATATAGTAGAAGTTATCGCTCGCCTAGTATTATATTAGTAAAGGATATTAGCTTTCTTCTAAAGAATATATAGCTATTTCTTTTTTAGAAACTATATATACTTATTATATATTAACTACTATTTAAGTATTTTCGCTAAAGGAGAGTTAGTATCTAATTCTATTATATTTTATTAGAGAGACTTTTTAGTTAAAGCACCTATACTTTAGAGTTATGTAAATACTATATAATAGGTTACTAGATCGCTATTCTAGTAAGAATAGAGAATTTCGAATTATTAGAGAATATAGATCCTTAGGATTAATATACTAATACAATAATAAGATATGTATAGATAAAATAATATAGTTAGTTTAATAGAAGACTAAATTCTATTAAGCTTCTATTATATAGAAGCGACTAACATATACTCTCGCTTAGCTAGTATATTACTAGTAGAAAGCCTAGAATAAGGCTAAGGCCCTCTTTATATCCTATAAAATACTACTACTATAAGAGAATATAGATAGTAAATACCGACTTGGATTAGTAGATTATATAGAAAAGATACAGGCAGGTAGTAGTAGTAATAGTAGATGCTATTTATTAAAGATAAGATACAGGTAAGAAATAATTAGTCTAAGTAAGAATAGTCTATATTCTTTTTATAGATTTGCATAAGAGCCGCTATTATACAAGTGTATTATTATATTCGAAAAGTACTTTTAGTAAAGAATAAGAAGAATTCTAAAAGCTAAGCTAAGCTAATCACGTGCTATATATACTAACTACTAGCTATCTTACTATAATAGTACTAGATAGCTAGGTTGTTTTCATTATTATGTAATAGTAAATTAGCTAACTTATTATTTTTACTATTATATTACAGCGATTTCGGTATCATATTAGATAAATGCTAGCTACTAGCTAATAGTAATTAGAGCTTTTAGTAGGCTTAGCTGCTAGGTTGTCTTAATTATAAATATAGGTTTATTTATAGTTAAAAATTATTTTATAACCTCTATTTATAAGCTATAGTATTAATAGTAAATTACTAGTAATTCTAGAATCGTATAATAATCTATAGAATTATATTAGGTAAGATAACTACTTCTTAATCTTTAATTAGTATAGTAATTCTATTAGCTATAGTAATTAATTTCTTATTACTATTTTTAAACTTGTTAAATTTGTAATAACTATTATAAATATTATCTATAACTCTAGAATTAAATGTCTAGCGTATATTTCTTACTAAATTAGCGGAAACTAGTATAAGAATAGCTATAACTACTATAGCTATACTAGCATAATACTTTACAAGCGCTTATAAGTATTACAAGCATTTAGAAATACTAAGTAGATATACTTATAAATAGCTTGCAAGTAGCTTATAAGTATTATAAGTGCTTATAAAAGAAAATCTATCTATAAGTAGCTTAGTGTATTTAAAAAAGTAAAAAGAACTCTAAGTCCGATTCTCTAGTATATTAAGGGGAGTCTATAATAGAATTAATTCTAGAGGGTAAACTATTAATAAATATAATTATTATCTACTAAGTTTTTAGAAAGATAAATATTATATCTTTTCTTTCTAGAGAGATGAAAGTTAAGCGAAAGAGATAACTCTAAGATTTTTCTATAATATATAATTTGTTACTTACGAAATAATTTGAAATAGCTTCGAGCGCTTTAAGAAAAAGGGTCTATTCGCGAGCGCTCGCGAGCATCTGGAGCGTTTAGAGAAAAACAGCCTCAGCCGAGCGGATTAAAGATTTCCTAATGAGTGATTATATTAATCTAATGCTGCGAAAAACCGTGATGCTAATACAGATCGGTATTTAGGAGCCTGGTGTGCAGGGGCCTCTAGTGATGCATAGTATGGTTGTAAGGCCCATGACGCATCTTACCAAAGAGGACGACGGCCGACATCTCCATCCCACAGCCTATCCACACTGCGCTCAAGAACAACTGAACTGGACATCCCAGTCACCTCCAACCAACCCCTCAATCTCAATCCTCCCGCTCACATTTTCCTGCGCAACAACATCCACCACCACATCCTCACACTTCCCGTTCACCTCTCTCAGCGTCATCTGCCCGCTACAAGCCGGATACGGCACGCTGACCCCACCCATCGTCCCCGCCGGCGCCGAAAAGTGTATGCTGATCCCACCATGACCGTCCACCGTCGTCGTCGCGGAGAAGACACCAAGGCTCGTCTCAAAACCTGCATCTGCGCTCGTCAGGTCACCCAGCGCGGGACTGACGCGCCACGTCTGCCCGCCCGCGCTGAGCAGCTGTATGCCAGCGACGTAGAATGTGAGCGTGGACGTCGGGCCTGTCGCCCAGCCATGCGCGTACGAGATGCGCGGGTCGTTGGTGAAGGGTGCGTAGTGCAATTCGCCTGTGTCCTGGTAGCCTTCCATGAACGTCGAGTTCGTCATGCGCGGGTCGTCCAGCATGAAGCCCCACTGCAGCCGCATGAGATCGAGCGCGGCGGAAACGTTGGAGGCGCGGATGTGGGCCTGCAGCTCGAAGCCGGAGATGAAGGGGGAGACTGCCCTTTGCGCCTCGGGTGCCGGAGCACCGTACGGAGTCCAGCGTTCGATGAGGTTGGCACTTATGGCTCTATTCTGTTCCGGGCTCTCTGTGATGTTGGCGACCACGGCCCAGCAGTTGCCGTCTTGTGGCATTAACGTCGTAGTCTCGTTGTCGCGGTACATACCGGCTGTGCTGTTCCAGAGGAGCCTGTTTGCGGAAGCCTTGATGCCGGCGGCATAGGCTTGCCAGGACGAGATGACGGAGCTGTCATTCATGACGCCGGCCAGGAGTAGCCCTTGGTTGATGGTGTAGTACAGAATGGAGTTTGCCTGCGATATTCGGGATCAGATCGAGCAGAAAGAACGGCTCTCTGGGACTAACTTCAATGTTGTGTCCGCCCATTCCAAAGCGGAGCCAATCAGCACTCGAAGTAACGTTCATCATCCCGCTTTCATCTATAAATCCTAGCGAGAAGTTCATGGCAAACTTCCATCGCTCCCACATACTGTTTAGGTACTCAAGATCCGCCTGATAAGGACTTAGTTTGCTGTGAAACCATAGGAGTAAGGATGGAGCTTACCGAGTAAAGGTAATAATCAGCCACGCCAATCAAGGTATACAAATGATACGTCGCTGAGTAGATAGGGAAGAAACCTCTTCCGGCATAGGGCAGCTGCCCGGTCGTAGTGTTCTGTAGGGCGAACAGCGAGTCCAAGGAATTCCGGACGGAGATAAGATCGTTCGTGCTCACGACGATCGCAGGAACAGCAATTGCCATGTCCTGAACAGGGTCAGCAATTCAAGTTTCAATCCAGCAAGGCACTGAATGGAAAGATGTACCCCTGCCCAAACCAACCTGTCGCGTTTTGCTCCGTCTACCAGTGCGGATGAGCCATTAGTGATGGTGAAATTACTGTACCAAGGCAGTGATCCTGTGATGGTTTGTGTTGAATTGACGATACCCAGAAATATCAACGCATTGCCATAGTGGGGGTCAATGGTGCAGATTTGATTGGTATAAGCCCCTAAGTAGCTCCATTAGTCTACCGCCGTATCCCGGTAGTAGGCATCAAACTCACCCGCATACCAAATCCGATTGATCAGCTCATCTGCGGAAGTATCAGACTTGTAGCTGTTTACGTGCATTGGAGACTCGGGTCACCTACCGTTGCAGTGAAAATACCCGGTATAATTTCTCAATTGGTCCTCAGCATAATGCGGCATAGACGTGAAATGCGTAGTAACTTGAGTAACCTCTAAGCGTCCAGTAGTGTTGTGTACTAAGGTTAGATACTTGAAGTTGCCCCTCTCACGCTCCCTCGGAACGGTGTATACTCCAGGACCGGAAGGGTTAAACCAAAGCGCCTCATCATTGCCAGCATCGTGAGTTGCATCGCTGAAATTCGCAGAGATCCATAGAGAGCTCTCAGAGAAGGTGATACCGATGTATTGATCGGTATCCGAGACGTCGCCGATTATTAATGATACTACTCCACCGATGCCCTTTTCGTAATCAAAGGTCACAGCTGAGGCATCCTCGAAGACAGCACTGCCCAGCTGGTTCCCGGTAAGACTCTCGGCGCCGGTGACTGTGCCATTGACGTCGTAAACCGAGACAGGGTGCAAGCTTCTTGAGCTTGGAGCAAGAATGTACTGCTCATATTTAGCTGCAAGCACAGATCGCATGAGCGAAGCTGCGGAGACTATAACTAAAGATAACAGACAGCGCATAGTGGATGAGAGGAGCTGGTATGGCTCTCTATGCCAGTGACACACCTAAAGGCCATATTATATCTTTCAAAAGCTTAAAAGCAGAGATGGAAGACTGCATGATGATGTGAACAATTGGTCTAGTGGTCCCTAGCATCCCCTCACTTTATCTACATTTGAAATAGTTCGTGAAGCCGTCTCTTAGAGCTGTATGCATGATCGCCTGATTCTCCACCTCTATGGTCAAGGTTGTCCAGGGAGAAGAGGAGGTGCATGATAGCTGATGAAAATCTGGGGCAAACGCTGGGCGTGACGTTAGATCGGTGCATCTTGTCCCGGTCGCCGGAGACCTGCCGCGCAGAAAAGTCTAGGGTGGATCGGCAGATCGAGCGAAACTTAGGATAAAGAACAAGGGCCGTCTGAATTGATCGCAGCGGCATATGTACACTTACAATGCGGCCGCGATCAATTCAGACAGCCCTTAGAAGTTGCGGGTCACGTCGTGGCCAAGAAAACGTACGTACTAAACCTTAGCACTACTATAAAAACCACGAGTTTATTAACTACGTAGTAGAAGAATAATGCTAAAACCTATAACATATCTTATTAATAGGTATAGAAAGACGCTTAAAAGATTTAGTAGATATTAAAGGTAAATTAGTAATACTACTAATAGTAGTACTAATATGAAAGATCTAGTATTAATACAAGCAAAATCTTTGTATACAAGTTTTTTTTAGCTATAGTATGCAAGTATAGCAACTATTGTAGTGGTGCAGGGGGTTTATCACGTAGGAGCTAGTATAGAGTGCATATGCTGAGGTTTAAGGATTATTATTAATTAATTAGAAAAAACTAATATAACTAGTATTAGTTATATTATAGTATTAAGTATTACCACACTTATTCTATATGTTATTTAGCCTTATATAACCTATCACCGTAATCCTATCGCCGCCTTAATAGTTCTACCTTAATACCTCACCTCCGCGGATGCATACAACCTACTTACCTAAGTCTATACTTAAACCCCTTACTCACAATATTTTAGTGACTATACTAGAGAGTTTATAAGGTAATATATAGGTGTGTAATTTATAGTTAAGAGCTATTATAAGAATTAGGATTTATATCGAGGACGGTATATAGGCTATAAACGTATTATAGTAAGAAACCGCCGATATTAAGGACTCTACTAGATGTAGAGTATTAATAAGTAGAATAATAGTTAGGGAGAGGACTCTCTTAACTTAGTATTATAATAATATTAAGAATTCTAAGGACTCTACTAGGTGTAGAGTATTAACGCGCTAAGATTATAGTTAGGAAGAGAACCCCTTTAACTCGGTATTATAATATAGATATTAAATTAATCTTAAAAAGATTTAGTTTAGATTAGGGTAACTAATATTAATATATAGACTTAGGTGTAATTGCCGAATAGAGGTCTAAAAGGGACTTATATAGCTATAAAGGGTATAGATAGTTTAGAATAATAGGACGCGCGGTTAGGAAAATAGTATCTAGTAGAAAGAGCTAGAAACTATCCCTTTAGTAAGATTATTATATATCTATTTTAAGTATAGCTATAAGGAAGTTCCGGATAGTTTAGATCCGCTACTATAAAAGAATAGGGTTATATTCTAGCTAGAATAAAACTCTAACTAGTAGGAGA